CGATCTGTCATCACGCAGACGGCCACTGTATTGCGGGAATGTCATGCGATTCGCAATATGTTTCCCTTTGTGACAGCATCTACAGCAGTTACGATTGCAAATACAAAATAGCGTACCTGTCGCATCCATAGTAGCCATTGTGGGCTTTCACTTGTCGTACATAACATCGGGCTGGGGTGTCGCAAGTCGCATTGAGCAAATCCACTTTGATGACACTTTCTGTACGTGGATAGCGCAGGCCCGTGGTGAGAAGGCCCTTCAGTTCACTAATACAGTCGCCCAGAAAGTCTTCCAACGGTTCGGGCTTACCAAAACCGCAGAACACTCCAACGACGAAGGGCTGCCGAACAACGGGATGGTTAACACGAGCAAGGATCGGCCACAAGCACTGAGCAGACGCATTAAAGACTTTCATTCCGTCAATGTGCAGTTGAACGTGCACTTCAGGAATGCCCGTTAGTGGGCAATGACGCAATTCGTCGAGTAGGCCGCGTTCGAGACCCAGGTGAACGTATTTTCCTCTCTTCAGGGACTTGCTAACACAAGTTCGAGGCGTCTGCAGTAGCGTCCTTGGGTCGTTGGGTAGCTGCGGATGATAGTGCTGCAGCACCTGAAACAAATCCTTTGCTGTGGTCAACGACAATTTCGCCCTCGAACAGAATTCGCGCAAATCTGTCGTCAAGGATCTGCCTTCCACTGTGTCCACGGTCCCAGCCACTACAGGCAGTTCTATATACTCCAGTAAATAAGGCACATACAACTCCTACCCGTTGAAACTTCCAGCATTAGTTCGGGCATTTGCAATTCCGGTGACTCATTTGCAACCAAAGACGTTGATGCGATGGGTTGCTCCTCCATAGTAGCATAATATGCCCACCTTTGGCGCAAGAGCCGCTTGTATATAGTGCTTCGGTGAAAGCTATAATGCTTACGCTTCATAGCAACGAATAACTACTCAACGACGACAAATATTTGTACTTTCAACATTGTTCGCAAAATCATAAGTGAAATTATGCTAATACATATGTTACTACACCTTAATAAGGAGAACGAATGCCCTAAATGGCATAACTTGGAAAATAAAGAAGTATCAGACACAAAATGGACGTCGAATTACTTGTCAATATGTCATAAACAATCACAGGACGAGAGAACCAGGTGTTGGCAGGGGTAGTATTGCCACGTACTAGGGATCTGGTTTTCATTTCCAAGATGCATTATGGTGCATTTTATCGTGTTGAAAACAGAACCCATCTACGCGACCACACGTCCAATCGCCGAAAATTTTCATGGGATTTGACTTTTTCGAAGCAATGCGGATGACTCTCCAGATTTTTTATATCCTCTGCAAACATGACACAATCATACCCCAAATCCTCCACACAATCATTTATAAGCAAGAGAAAGAGGTTCGGTCTGGGCATTGAGCCTTGTAGAACTACACTCTCTGTGACTGCCGCCTATCCTCGTCGGCCGCGTCGAGGGCGGGATTCAGGTCACTGTGACATGCAGGTCGGATGCAGCCACGCAGGCGACACTGGCGGGCCAGGCATCAAAAAGTTCGCCATATAAGGAGAGCTGTGCGCATGACTTCCCAGTCTCTGAAGATGAGTGTATTAAACGACTAGTCGAAAAGTCAGATCTCCAATACACCTCTCCCGATGAACGCCTCCTTTTTTTTGAGAATGACCAGGCTCTTGTTTGGAATCGGCATTGCTTGCTATTAGGCGTACGCTGTCGAGCACCTTCTGGCAATCAATATAGGCCACATGCACAGTGTGTTTTGCATCGAGTGCCCTTGTCCAGCCTTGCATTGCATACAGCAAGTTCGTTAAACACGTTCTTCCCCTGTGAAAGCCGTGTTGCGCGTTGGACAAGAGTTTGTGGGCTTCTTAATAAGTCATCAACTTCGTTTGACGATCTTCTCCATGACTTCGCATCAGATTGATGTCAGACTGGCGGGTCTGCAGTTCGTCACAAGAGCACGACCACCGAAATTGTAAAGCGGTGTAATGTGAACCGTTCTCCAGTCTGTGGGAATAATTCCAGTATCAAGCGATTTCTGGCACAGAAAGGATAGCGGTTTGGCCTGCTCTGGGACACGTTCAAAGAGCGGCTCTGCTGGAATATTATCCCAACCAGGAGATTTACATTCGTTCAAGATTATTAGTTCTTGGGAAATCAATCCCTCTTTTAGCAAAATATTTTCACTAATTAACTCTAACATGTTCTCATAACTAACCGAGAAAAATTGCTTCTCTTGTGAAAAAAGGGCTGGGAAAATGGGCAAATGCTCAGATTTAATTGTGCTGTCCAATATCTCGAAACCGTCATAATCCCCCATGACAGGAATCGGATTCCTGTTATGGGTGCCCTTTTGCAAGTAGCTGTAGAGCAGTTTTGGATTTTTGGCGGCTCAGTGGAGTAGATTACTCCCGAAAGCCCATCACCTTTCAAAACTCAAGCTCCTTACCTTGTTCCTTTGGATTTGTTATTCCGCAAAAGTTGTGTTCTCGTTGTTTCCGCAAAAATTCTTCCACAGCCTAACTTTCTTATTGATCTCCTTAAGTCGGTTGGATGTCCTAGGCTTTAATGAGGAACAGTGGCTCGTCACTAGATGCCACAACCGATCCTTAACTAAATTCCAGTCCCCGATGGCGTTCCCGGAGAAGGGAAGATCTCAATCTATTTGTGATGTCTCAGCGCTCATTTGGCAAAGTCTCCTTGCCATATATTTGGCATGGTTTCATTTATTGCATACAGTACAGAATGAAGTCTACACTCCCATCAAAGTACTGTACGATCACTTCGACCTAGTGGAAGTAGGTCATTACGAATACGCGTCTTTCGACAGCCTAGGTCGACTGAATGCGGGGTGGGTAGTGACCGGGCTTTCGAGCATTGACCCCGTCATTCAGGGCAGCAGCAGCTGCCGTAACCGCAAACCATGTACTTCTACAGTAATCGCACTTTCAACAGTGTACCGGCAAACGTTTGTGGACAGTTCTGTTACTATGGGAGGGTTGATCATCGACCGGGTGTACGAGATATGCTCATCCCGTTATGCCATGAGACCGAATTTAGGGCCGTTGCAAGCAGGTACATGGCGACCAGCAGTAATGCAAGCCTAGTACCTACAAAGACCAGAGATACTGCAACGGCCATTTCTGGCTTATAGGTTGTCGTCAGCCGGCCGTACTTAACCCCAGGTTTGGATATCCAGGGATTCGAATCCGGTTTCCTTAGTCGCTGAGCGTTCATAAGTCCAACTATCTACAACTGAACTGAGCGCCAGTCGTCCAGTCAGCTGCGGTTAAGAGTATCAACTATGGTGGGAGTGCGTTCACTGATCAGGCTACGGAACATGTTTGCCCTCTTGCGTCTTAGGGTTTAATCTAGGACTCTCTTAAGCAGTCGCATAACTACAAGTAATGATACATAAGGAGCGTCTGGCAGGATTCAGGATGATATTACGATAGAGGACGATATTACGGTATAGATAGAGGACGATATTACGGTCCTTGTTATGCTGAAGTCTCACGCCGGCACTGGTTACTTTAACCCAGTATCCTGTGGGGAATGGGCTTCGATCGATGAAATCTCAATGACCCAAGTTTAAAACGTCTCGTTCAGTCACTCACACACACAGCGGTTCCCTGGTTTTTCACTCGTAGATGCAGGTAGTAGTGCAAACCGTTACAAAGACCAATCTCATTGCTTCTGACGTGAATCGACTACCGCCTAACGATAATCCTTAGACGAACAAGCTTACAATGGCTTGGTTAGACAGATAATTGAGCAGTGGTTTTTTGTCGAGACACGAAGGTAAGGAGGACGGATTACTGGACGTCGGATCCTCAGCGTCGAACAGTACAGCCTGCCAATCGCATGCTAGTTCGAGTGACAGACCAACTACTCGGAGCACTGGTGGGGAGGCAAGTTAGTTTAAGACGCCAAAGGACATTCATGGGAAAACTACCAGGCGAGTTGGCCGGTACGTGCGGCATGGCGCCCATCTGATCTTTAAATTTACCATCAGCCATTCAAACCTGTCCAAAAATCATCCCTGCAGGTGGGTCGGGCTGAAGCCGGTTCCGTATCGGCTACTATACTATGAGATAAAAGGTTTGCATGCCATCCGACACCTAGCAAGGTCGATAATTAGGCGGTCTTGCTGGATACCAGACATCTAGGTTTTCGGTTTCGCAACCACTAACGAGCGCCTTCCAAGATCTTAGAGAGTCACCAACCAGCCGATTAGCAGACCCGTTGACGCGCCGTACATTTTGAGGCAGTAGCCCATACGTCTAGTCAAATCCTGATCTGCGCCTGTACTGCACGGACAAACGGATGTCGGTTTAGTCGCCGGCGGCGAACCATGACGTGCGAACCGGACACACCTTCGAGTCCGACACTGCTGGGACGGTGAACAGAGGCGGAAACCGCACATCAAGGCGGTTGGAAAGAACCCGGTCGTCAAACGATCGCCCAATTGACCTTCACGTCGGCCTGTCTTCAATCTACGCAGCTTTACGCCACTACCCGGCACAAGTTAATCGAGTCATGGCACCGTTGCGAAGGACAAGAAGAAAACAGCCAAACGGTTGCCCGCATCTCATTTGCAATAGACACTGGATATCTATACGTTAGTTCAGGTGCACGTGCACCTTATAATCTGAGTTATGCACAGGACTACGCGGTTCCCTTGGATGGGTAGGCGGATCCACAAATAAAAACAGCAGATTAAAAATATGCCTTTCCCGGCGAGCACTTCTGATATGCTACTTACGAACCGGATTTTCATTACTACATTTATCTTAAGTAATCGCAAGACAAGGCGACTTTTTGCGGACGCAGCGGATACGACGGAGAAGAAATACGGCAACATTTTAAAAATAATGCGTTATGACTTTTCAGGATAAAACGATAAAAATTGAGCAAATCATTCGCAGATAAGAGGGGGCAGGCAGGTGCACGTATGTGCTGCCATAGAACACATATCAACACTGCCCTCTAAATGCGAGTGGACAAGAAAGAAACACAACTAGGGGCGACATAATCAAGTAGGCTTTACTTCTCGTTCCAATTAGAACACAGGAGAGGAGAAACGCCGAAATGGCGCAGTGTGCTGGACTGAGTGCCAGTGATGCAGAAGGTATAGGGAATTCGGGTAGACGACAATCCACAGCCAGGTCTAAGGAAGCGGTGTTCTTAAAAGCGGCCTCAAGGGTGGCTAGCCGACAATAGCCGCTGGCATCGGTCGCCTTTGTGGTTTCACTGCAGACTGCTGGCCACAGTTCGACGGGCTCAGAGGCTCCATTAATTGTGTCATTTCTGTAGAGAATCCGCACTCGAGGGTCACCAGTCCGGTTGTGATACAGTTCGAGTATAACCGCAGCTGCAAACGGTGGGATAAGGCTGGAAAGAGAGAATAAATGCAAAGTAGAGTGAGCAAAATCAATCCAAACAGGCTCTTATTACGTGTGAAGTAGAAGTTAGAAGGCGCCAAAGGAGAGGTTGGCTATGCGCATCCGTAGCATGGTTCGGGTCATTCGTTTAAACCCCTATACTGCTGTCATCCCAACTCAAAAGACGTGGTTCGTCTACCAAATCGTCGGTATTGGCAAGAGCAGTGGTCACATGCTGCCTTTGACGAAACTGTAAATTACTCGGAAGTCTGGTTAACACGGACCGAATGTAATTGAGCTAGAAGAGGTCTGGGCTTCTATTTTTTTAATGGTCCAGTCGATGTGGCAAAATTCAAGGAATACGCAAGTGAATGCACGCAGAGTCATGGACACCGTCAACAATGGAAATAAGGAAACCGAGAAGCATAAGAGTACCCCCAGGTCAGCAGTCAGAATAATAAGAGAAACTATGCACAAGAGCTCCTTCCTTCGGTCGTTCAGGCTCTATCACTTTAGAAGAGATGCCGCAACCTACCACTACTTGCATTGGTATTGTTGCCGACAGCCATCATGGTTGTGTTTAGTTCCTTGTCCAAGGCCTCGCTGCCTCAAGGTCATTCACCCTTGCAGCGAGTCGTTGTAGATGCGCTGGCCTGAAGCCACACGACCGACTTCAGCTCGGGCACACCCACGTCCACACAGTCGCAGCTGACCATGTGGCCACTAGAACGCACCTCCCCATCGGCAAATACAACATAAGCCACCATCCCCCCGGGGAATGCAACACCCCAATTGGGCACCCCTATATATTGCCCCACCAACCTGCAAAAGTGGCTGCCGTCACTCTTTCGGGGACTCTCAGGCATGGCTGGCCGCAGTCAACGCCAGTCTCTGGCTTCGCCAGCGGCCACTGCCGCCTGAGAAGACAACTACGGGTTCTGTATATATTAAACCCTTTATTCTGGTGACTCCCGCCCTTCCCTACAACTCTGGGTTTGCCCTGATTATTGTAGCGCTCGGAGCCCGCGCGCCGCCCAAACGCTACAGTATCATGGTACAGGTGGAGTCGTGGGCCGACTGTGTGGTCCCTTTAAGTGCATTCAGGCGCTTGGTGAACCTTTACAAACTGACGTCTCGAGGTTTCACCAAACGTCTCATTGATTTGGCGGGTGCGTTGAAATCATCCCTCCCTGACGCATATACCTCAACGGTCGCTCCACTACGGTGTTATGCTCACAACGACCAAGACCGAATGACATTTCTTTACCAGCGGGCCATGCCAGATGAGATTACTCGATGTGTTTTCACACCCGGAAAACTCCTTTGTAGTTCCGTTCCCACCAAATGAGCGCTATAGACAGAAGGAAATGCGACCCCGTAGGCGGCGCAGGCCAGTTCGGCACGCTTTCCACTAACCAGCCGTGATTCATGACAAGATCCAACAGCCATCTAAGATCCGCCTGCCCATTATTGAAAAGGGTACTAGAAAAGATATCCTACACAAACACTGGTTTGTGCCGTCTACATAGCTGACAATGAAGAGAACCAATCTCCGTAGACCTCTGCCCGCCACCGGAGACACGGCTCATTGAGGCAGCTCACTTTTTTTAGACCGGCCAGAACCGAGGACGGGTCTCATTGCCAGCAAACGGGCTCGATACAAGTCAGATGTGTAGTGTCGAAGGGTCGGCCGCCCACTGCCTTGTCGTCTCAAAGATGGTCCTGTAACTCGAGCCCTGAACGTGGCCTCAGGTTTAAAAAAACACCAGGTAAATACAGAGATCTTTGGATCGAGAACAGCACGGAATAGATATCAGCAACAAAATGGGCAGAAATATGGAATGTTAGTTTTGGAAGTGGACGACGCTGGGGCGCCACCGATGCCATTTCGTTCAGAATGCCGGCAATCCCGCGGCTGGTGTGACGACAAGAATGAGCGATTTATTTTGACTCAGTTGTGAAAAACCAGGCGGCCGCAGCGGGATTCGAACCCACGAGAGTCACGTACGCACGAGCCCACATACAGCCAGGGCTCTAACCACATGAGCTACGCGACCCAATTGGCAGTCCTGGAATTTAATCACATTTGGGTCAAGTTAACCGCCCGACCTACTGCAAGGTATGGGACCCATTAATTCTGACAGTAAGCGGACTGTCCAAGCAGGATTCCATAAGTAAGCAGTCTACAATCCACCAGATGATTATTCGGCCAACTTAATTAGAGCGTTGACTGTGCTCAAACCTTGTCCTTGCTGTTGTGAGTTCGAATCCCACTGAGGCCGCCGAGTTTTTCACAATTGGGCTAGGATTAATTATTCGCAATTTGCCGGAGAAAAACGGGTAACAAAAGACCTGGGTCGCCGCTATGACCGAGACAAACAACCTCGCACTTATCCGGTGTCGAATTCATGCGTGGCAGAGGCTGAGCGAGGGGAAAACAACTGACTGATTTGAAAGACGAAGAAAGCCCAGAAATGCACAAATAGAATTATCTTCACCTCGTATTCTCCACAGTGCTAACGGACGCCACTCCTGAAGAGCGACCTGGGGCCGATAGCAATTACTGAAGTAGTAGTAATCTGGCATCATCCAGTGTGCGCGGACGGAAAATAAAGTACCCAAGACTCGATTTCAAGATCCTTTATTAGCAAATGAATACGTGTTTTGGAGGACAACCGTTGCGGCTATGCAATTGACCACAGCCCTCTTTGCCTTTGGCTGCTCAAACATTGGGCTGACGATTGGCATGGATAGGATAGTCCCTGTGTATCAACGCCCGCCAACTGATGCCCTCAGCGAAGCCTGCCTAATCTCAGCCGAACTAGCCTCATATATGTGAAGCGCCACTTCAAGAAACACGAAAGCCGACGACGAAATTGCCAATCGGAGCTTAAAAGCCGGTCAGGCATTCAATAGGCCGTAACATTCTGTACGGAGTCACCGAGGCCTCCCCCCTCAGTACGAAATTGAGAATTTACAAGCATGTTCTTCCGGTCATACTGTTGTACAGGGCGGAGTCGTGCACAGTACATGAAAGTCAGAGCACATCACCTTAGCCGTCTCCGGAGACCACTGAAGGTGAAGTGAGGAAGAGGGTTTCGGACACTAAGTTCCTGAGCAGGACGGACGTGTTTGGTGCAGATGTGGTGGAACGATTAAATAATAAGAATGTCCGACAAGAGACTACATGAATGAATAGGCAAGGCGGGAAAAAGGTGACAACGCACACACACACACACACCTTAAAGACCTCAATCAAGGAACCGGAAACCAGCCATGATGACTGTGGAACCCTTGAACGAGGACGACAGATTCGGCGTACTATTGTAGAAATTGGAGTAGCAAGCTTTGACGTTAGGGCGAAGTGTCAAGTACTCAAGACGACGATACTATGAATGGATGCCGCCAATGCCAAAATGCCGCTAACATGTCAGAGCTATCAGCTAATGTTGGGTGCGCCGACTGAGCTTGTTAAAAGTTCGGAAGTCTGCTGAAACGTCAACGCGACCGAAGCACCTCTACTCGGCCTGGTCAGACACCGTCGATCCACCTCAGAAGATGTCGCCAGAACGCAACAGACATTCTGCTTCGATCTGTCCCTACTGCGGCCGCACACTCCAATCACGCATCAGCCTTCGACCGTCGAGTTCGACGTTGTCTACTGTGTGCTCCACTGCAAAGTGAGAGCAGGGACGGTGAATTGCGTGGGAACTAGTTTATTATGATAGTAGACATGCGCAGCATCTACCGCACTCTCTCTTCCCCACTCGCCTCATCTGGACCCGATGTCAAGACAGAGTCAAGAAGACCGGATGTTGGGGGAGGGCGCAGCTGGTTGGAACGACCGGAGCCGCACCTAGGCGTGCTACCACACTCCCTGGTCCACACAGCAAATGACCAGGAAAAGAAATTAATTGTGCACCGCACTCCGAGTTGCTGTCCTAGGCATCAGAGGTCGTTGGCGAGGTCGGGGTTAGCGGTGGATGCTCCCAGCCACGCCTGGGAGAATGAGATAAGTGACGGCAGACGTTTGTGCCGTCGAATTGTTGCATTCGTCGAGGGGTTGTGTGCTCAAGTGAGACGTGAGCAGCCTAGAACATCTCGCACACTTAGCACACCCTGCACATCCACTAACTTTCCCATTCCCAGTCTAATTAACCCCCATGTATGAGCGCAACAACCACTAGCAGCACCACAACGACGACCGACCAACATCCCCCCAAGCTATCCCGCCACACTGTCACCGCACATTAAAATTAAACGTCTGCCTTGTTTGCCACTAGCGAATTCATCGTACAGAGACAGGTAAGCCGGCACCCCGTGTACCAACATGCAATAGACGCCATGGCCTCAACTGCCCACATTGCCCTCGCACATTCAGCCATCGGATGGACTTATTGGGTCACATGCGCCTCCATAGAAACCTATATTTCGTCACAGAAGACATTATCACATCACCACACATCCATCCATCAATACATGCACCACACATGAACACATCCAACATCCCGCATCGTCGGCATCTCTCACGTAAAAGGGGAGTGTGCTTTTCGGCTCCTTCCGTTGCAATTCCGTATCATAAACAATATGCTGTGTTTGAGACTATCAAAGTGCGCTAGAGATCGTGGTTTGGAAGGTTACCAGCTGAAGTTTCAACTGTTGTGTGCTTGTGTGTTGAGTGGTCAACTAGTGGATTAAGAGCCCGACTGAAATGTCTCCTTCTTAATGGTACTTTCTCACTTGTGTGATATCCGGACAGTTTCGCCCTTATGGGTAATCATAGTGTGCGTTTGATGGGCCGGGCCGTGTATGTAGCGCGCAAAGACGGGCTCTCTAACGTTATCAGATAGTGGGCCCAGTCCCCGCATCAAAGAATTGGCCGGCTCGGACAGTGAACTGCTACTGGGGAGTGGAAAGAGAGTGAGGTCGACGGTCTCAGCACATAGTCCTCGCTATAAACAATCTGACGCACTTAAACCTATTACAGCGGCTTGAAAGACGGCCAATTGACTGGATAACTCGGACCTCGCAGTCAGCCAAGTGTGTGATTGTGTGGAATGGTCGACTAGTGGACTGAGATTCAGACTTCAACGGCTCCTTCTTAAAGTGACCTCTATGGCAATCCGACTCAACGGAATTCGAGCCGGTGTGATGGCACGCGCTCATGTCTGGATTTTCACCTTGTCAGCCACCTGCGCCCTCTCCTACCTCCGGCCTTTTTTACTCTGTCTTGACACCGGGCCAAGGTGAGGGGAGGAGAGAGTGCGGTAGTTGCACCACAAGTCTACTACCACTTTAACCTGACTCACGCGCAGTTCTCCATCCATGCTCCCATTCTGCTGTAAAGCACATGGTGAACATCGTCAGAAACGATGGTCGAACTGTGTGTGTGTGTGCCGATGTTTTAGCTTCGTAAGACTTGAATGCGCGAACTCGTATCAAACCTTCCTAGCCAAGACTCGATGATCAGCTTCGAGCTTTATGCGCGGATTTGAGCTGAATGCTATCAAATTCAGTTGCGCATCTGCGTGGAAATAATTCTGGAAAAGTATGCAGCATTATAAGTTGGAGTATGCAAACTCCTATACGAAAGGTAAGTACTAATAAATCAGGTGATACTGAGTGATTAAAAGCAATTATGGAGACATTTCTCACGGCCCGAACTGAGTTGACGGCTGGACAGTACAGTAAAAAATAGTAGTCTGGAAACGACTCACTTGTTGAAGATGCCTAGGTGACTCAGAAACGCGGCCAGGGTAGAGTCGTGAGCAAAATAAGCCACAAGTTTGGAGCCTTTTTCCTTGGGTATGTCCAGTGGATCCGTTCCGTCAAGGGCTGAATTAACAAACTTGAAAGCGGTAGCACTGGGGCCTGTTGAGGTAGGGGTGTCTAGGTGATCTACAATGGCAGATCGTCTTCGCAGAATGTCAAGCACGTGGGCTACAAGTGGACCGCCGCGTAGGCGAGTAAGGGAGGGAGTTGAGAAACGTAGTTGTTGCTTGAAAGCTAGTGCACGCGAACAACCCGAGACCAAAGATGCGTCAAGCCAGTCCGGTACGGCGTGGGATTTTAGGTAGTTCCAAACGTAGAGGACGTCACATAACTCCCAGACAGCCGTCAAGTGAAGATGAGGTTGTTCAGGAATAAACTTCAGATCTACAACCAAAAGGAGGCAGAGTGGATGCAGGGGCAAGAAGATTGTCAGGTAAAACGAACAATACAGGCAAATGTTGTTGGAAGAACCGATGGTAGTCATTTAACGCAAATCGACGCTCACACAAGGGACTGACAGTTGCAAAACAAAATGAAAGCTCAGAAAATTGATCAGAGGTCATTTGATTAGTACTGCAGAAATAAAATTAGGTTGTCGTAGGTATGTATGCACGTCCATTTGTCTTGGTACGTACCGTTCGACTTATGTATTATCAAGGCCACAAAAGATTTCGAAATTAAGCGCAACCAGTTAGGTGGTGGCTGCTGCCAAAGGGCTTAGGAGACAATCCTGCAGCGAAGACTACTCATGGTTGTAACGGAGAACTTCATCGCTGGCCAGACCCTATTATGAGCAGAATAATTCCCAGGAAAACTATTGCCATACATGTAAGTGATGAACTCCGGTAGGGCTCTCCGCTAGGAGAGAACGTTAAATTTGAAAGCATGCAGACAAGCTCGGAAGGTCTTAGTCCCTGTGATCATAGGGAATTTCATTAAATGTTGGTGAAGCACTTGCCTGCTATCTTCTGAAGAGTATCGTAGAGGGGCAGTTCACGTTTCGCAAAGGCAACTGCACTATCCGCGTTAAGTGTATCACTAACCAGCCGTTTAAAGGCGGGACAGGGACTGCTAACCTTCAGCAAGCTGTCATACTTTTTTGGAGACGAAAAAATTGGCGGCATGATCGGAAGCTGACCCTCCAAGCGTTGGTAGAGGCCACAAGAAAAGTAATTGGCCGACATCAAAGTGCGATCGGTGGCGCTACTGCGTATTAGGACCTCATCCTAGATAAAAGTGAATAAAAGCTTGCATGCGCTACCTACCTGGATTAGTTGTGATGAGAGAAGAAGGGGGTATCGTTGTCGGAAAAATTGTCCCAATAAAAAGTGCTGTCGTCGTCCGTTCAATGTAAGTTCACACTTTCTACCGACAAATTCGGGAGGCAGTCCGGGGAAGGGAAAATAATGGCATGGAAGCCTCTCACCATGGCGGGCCAGAAGAAATACAAACTTTACATCATCCACCTCAGTGGGATTGCCAAGACAGAGTGGGCAGAGCAGCAGAAGGGCCAAGAGGGCAACGGTGTTTGATGACTCAGTGGACTGCCGCATCCGTTAAACTACAGCTTTTTCAAGATCTAAAAACATTTAAAGAAAATTTTCATGGGGCAATTCAGAAGAGACAACAATAGACGCATGAGATGCGAAAAGCGTACAAAGCTGAAAGCAATCACTGAACAACACGCAGACCGCGGCGTAAAAGGTTCCTATTGGGATGCCAGAAACTGGCCCCACACGACCATCTGTGCCAAATCAATTTGAGCCGTGAAAATACACATGGAAAGATTCAAAAGACTAGTTGGCGGGCATTTGTGTGCTTTCGATAAATTCTCGTCTCAGGTCAGTACATTTATGTGTGTGAGTGTTATGGAAAATCGATTAAAGTCTTTGCATACGGGTGGGGGACGAGATAATAAGAGAGCAATGAGTTAGGAGGCAATGAGGGTTATGAAAAGCCGTGTCAGGGGGATGCAGAGAAGTGCACACAATTAGCTGACCGGTGTCCATGGCAAACGCGGAACCCGCACGAGGTTCTTTCATTGCGCACGAGACGGGCTTGTACAAGTTAATGGCAATCGCTTCTGCTGTTGTTAGCAGACTCTGATCCAGTGGCTTAGGGTAGTTCGCTGGGACCTTATAAATAGCACGGAAGGCTTAATTGGGATTCATACGATGCCCGGAATAAACTATGTGTGCAAACATGGCGCTGCCCAGGCTCCTGATTTCGCCTTTTCTCAACCATGCCGGGAGGTGTTCCCGTGTACTTTTTGATAGGCACCGAGTCATCCGACCAGTATAGCCTACTCCGCAGGAGCAAGTAAGCATGCAAAAGCACGTGGAGTTGGCCTATGCTGTCAATTTATCTTTATCTTCTCCGTTCGTAATGGCGTTGATCGAGGATGACAGAGAACCATTGCTGTTGGGAAGGTACGTGAAACAGCCTGGTCGAGGCGTCTTCTCAGGAGTTCACTCGCCACATTCCCCTAAAGGGGAACTTTGAGTAACAAAGATTCCTTTCCAGTCGTTAGTGTGGTGGATTGTACTAGTCTCTCGATAATGTTCTCTGAGATAAATTCGCAAAGCAAGTTCTGGATCTTCTTAAGTACGCCAAATGAAATTTTCTAATCCTTTGCGTCAAATAACGCACTAGATGGTGTTTTTGTTGAAGGGGTACAAGACTGCTGAAGTTCGTATACTGTCTAGATCTAGTTTTCTTCCAATAGTTGCTCCTTCGAACGCCATTGCCAGTTATTTTGCTTCGAAGGATGTCTAAGAAAAGGAGGCGAACCTATCGTCTCCACCTCCAAAGTAAACTTGATCGACAGGTGTTTATGGTTCATAGAAGCTAAGAGGGCAGCTGTGATAGCTTCTGTAGTCGCAATTGCAATAATATCACCAACGTAGCGAACGTAATGTCTTATCCTGTTAATCTGGTCTTTGAGAATGCCAGTGAACTCAAAGACAGCCCGATCTAAAGCCCGCTTTCGCAGACAGTTTCCAACACTAGTGAATTGTAGCCATTAATACCTGAGCAATGGGTGAAAAAGTGGAGGATCGCCGACAAAAGCGCATTCCTCGATTGTATGGTATGCCCAAGATCAACGGGGGGCCACCAGTTTGGCCGCTTTTGTATATACGTAAGTCTCTGTATCGATGTGGTTAGTAGAGAATCTCAAGCCCGTTCAGTACCAGCCAGCACTACGTACCTATCGAGATATTTACTTGTACTCGTACTTGAGACGGCTGCGATCATGCCTGATCTAGCCGGCCTCAATGATGTCACGAACTGTACCTCTCCAGACGTGACGATCCGCGGCAGCAGATCTGGACAGCTCAACTCATTCCCTTCGCCAACGACGTAGGCCGAATACCGAAGGTCCAGGAACCACCTCCGTGTCTTGACAAACTGTGTCGAGCCACGTTTTGAACTGACTCCCTCTTCGACGCCTCCAATGGGGCAACGGTGCCAGATCGAGGGCAGTAACATTGAACTCCTGAGGTGAACGACGAAGAACATGCCCGAACCACCTCAGTCGTTTTTCTTGGATGACCTGAGTTATCCTTGCGATGCTGTCGCAGCGAACGCGGATTGTCTCATTTGAGACGAATTCGGTAAACTTCACTCGAAGGATGGTCCTCAAGCAGTGTTGGTCAAATACCTCCGGTTTTCGCTCGTCCTCCACGCGCAAAGCCCAGCATTCACAGCCGTGGAGAAGGATAGACCGGACAGATGCACGGTACACGCGAATCTTAGTGGCAATGGAGAGGTAGCCCTGCATTCATTGGCGACGTCAAAGACCTGAACCTAAATGAAATAGAAGCCTGTTCTTTCTTTTTCCAAGGGAGATTTTGTCAGAAGAAAGGAATTCCCCGAGGGGACAACACCAAATCACCACCGAGGGTCGCCCCGTGTACTAATTCCGCGTTTAAAACCCCAGACTCCTGTAATAAAATATTTCCCACATGCAGAAATCTGGATAGCTATGGAATACGAGCACTGAATCAAACTGTTTCAAGATGAAGTTTAATGTCAGCGAAGACGATTTTATTTACACGCCCAGAGCAGCGTTTCGGCTTGTGTCGTTGGGCTCGGTGTGTTTATGACATCTTCGTTGTCATCCTGCGTAATCAGGTTTCGAGGTAAGAACATTTGAACACCGTCCTGCCAGATATATGACTGACGTTGGGAGAGAAAAATGACCAGCTGGCCCTCCTCGATGTCATCGCCTGTCGAAAAGATTGTAGTGCCCTGAAAACTAAAGTGCTTAGGAATGGGACGAATACGACGCAGGTATTAATCTTCGACAGCATTCATGCAATCAGCCATAAACTCAGAGGCGTGAGGGTGCCCTATCTACACGTTAGGATGCATCGTGGTGAGTCGAAAACCAAAGTTAACGAATTACATCACCCTCGGTGGCTGTTAAAAGCGAATGGCTACTTGCGCAACTCCGGCAACCGGTGCATGCGCAAATGAGATGAGACACCAAAACCAAAATGCACCGACCCTAAGTTTTGGAGCACTTCCGTGTACTACGAAGTCGACGACCGCCTTCTCACGTCACTTGGACTTGAGGTTGCACACAGACCGGAGGCAACTATCCAGAGAAAAGTGACGAGGCCGAAAGACTCGTTGTTAAGACACGAAATATCTAGAGGCATATACCGCACCCGGTGTAATTTCCGTAAAACAACTGCGTCTGAGAAATTGAGCGATCACTTTGAGTGCGGATGACTGAAGACGTGCTGACGAACGCCGCCTCGGGTGACAATATTGGTGAGAGTAGTTGAGAGTACTTATCCAGCCAATAATCCACAGGTAGTGATGAATGTGCGACAACTAACGACCCGGATGTGGGTGATTAGGGAATCAACGAACCGGTAAGATTATCTTCAATGAGCGTGTGTCTGCTAATTTTGGCAGGTATGTGGCCGCATATTAACGGAATCCCATAAACACTGCAACCCTTTGAGCTCACTGGCCTTGCCTATTGACATCTCCGTTGATGGGTTCGTAAGTAAATCGAAAACGCCATGAGAATAAACTTCTTGCTCCAGTCATCGGGTCGCTTCAGCGCAATGTTGATTCTATCACCATAAGTATGTAAAACCTGTCAATGCAAAGTCCTGACATCACATTGTGAGTGACAAGTTCTGCAATGATTTGTATACTAGCCTCGGGCAAAATTCATAAGTCGACAATATGATTGTCCCGGAGAATTTAATGAACGAGTAAGTACAGTTCACGCTACCTGGAAGGGACTGTTTGGCCATTACCGAGCATGAAGATAGAACAGCAATTACCCAATTGGGTAAACCCGAGTAAAAAAAACAAGCTGTCTTTCATTACCTTGCGCCTTCCGAACCATAAAAAACACATCGATGCACTTATTCTCACACCAACAGTGTCATAACCATTATTGAAATAAGTGAATGTCGCCATGCGGAATTGCCATGACGCACTGATGAAAAAACGATGTGTGATGATGGGGACTTAGTCAGTCGCCGCTTAAGGGCCCTCAAGATGAGACTGCAGTTTCAACCATGAAGATGGCAACAGGGGAGGGCATTAATAAAGATTCTGGATACTGCGAAATCGGGTCAATCTAAATGCAAACAGGATCTCACAAGCAAAGTGAATAACAACCTAGAGCAATTGGAGGTCCTGATGGATGATGACCTCGACAGCAAGCGGGAGACTGTGGGACGTTAGGACGAAGTCCTCGGAACCGCACATGAAACGCCAGCGCTCTCTTGGGCCGTGTGAGATCCATAGAGGCGCGCGTCGAGCTTATTTCTAAGTTCACAGCTAGTGCTTATATTAAAATGCACCACCGATCCTGGCGGAGCTGTTTGAATAGTTTAGAAGTACTTTCCACGAGAACCCATTATGGTGGTGTCTGGCGAACTTCCGCCTGATGGGAATCGACGCAACCGGAGGAATTCTAAAGCACCATATGACTCAATCACTTGGGTTTTGGGCGAGATGCCAGAGTTGGCAGTCATGTCGGTAAGATTATCAGTCGTCTGTGTATTTTCTGCATCAGGAATCGGAGGATGAGGCAACGGATTCCAGTGCCAACTTGCCAGGTGGTGTGTCCTCCCCTCCCTCGTACGGCGGTAAGCTTCCATTTTTCTTATTCGACCTTTCTAGGCATTAGTCGTCCACTTAGTACGCCTCGACGCGCAGGACGCCCACCTGCCTATGGGCAGCAGCGCCGTCCAGGGCGAGGGCAGGGAAACTTGTGAATAGGCATGAGATGGCTTTTGGAGTCGCAAGCAGTACCGCTGCACCAGATCGCTGAGTTGCGCAATCAAAGTGCAACAATGCCGGATCTGCTCCAAGGCCTCCAAGGCTCCTCCACCTGCACAACTGGGTCCTCCGGACCAGTATTAACGCCGATGTAAACCCTGGAGGAGCTAGATGCCCTTGTCTGTGCCCTCGGCGATCATTCATATCGCCAACAACTGGTATGTTATGCGACGAAACTGCACACAACTTTGTAAGATGACGTACCTGTCTACTCTCGGCGGGACACGATTGTGACTTT